TTGTCCTGAAGACCCATTTTACACTAATAATCTTTCTGTCTAGAGGTTTCTCAACAAGCACCCAGGTCTGATTTTTTTCGATCATCATCATTTCCTCCTTCATTGTTGCTACCCATTTGTCATCCCCTTCTGCTTCCTCATAGCTTGCGGGCTCACAAATTGCAGTATTGCATCTCTGATAGATATCAGAGATCAACCGCGTGCCTCTAACAGGAGGATCATCTACTAGATCTTTTGGATCTAATAGACTGTCAACTGGTGGATTGTTTTCAGGCTTCTCCCAGTTCCAGTGCTCATCCTCAATGAAGTGGACATCTCTACTTACGACAATTTTCTCTGTTTGAGGTTCATAGACCTTATATGCTTTGGAGAAAACACTGTAGCCTATAAAGATGCCAGGAACTGCCTTCTTGTCAAGCTTATCTCTTTTAACCTGTGGTATATAAGAGAAACACAAGCAGCCAAAAATTCTGAGAAATTGCAATGAGGGTTTATGACCATACCATGCTTCATATGGTGTTTTATCCTTTACAGATTTAGAAGGAAGTCTGTTTTGCAAAAAAACAGCAGTGCTGGCAGCCTCTGCCCAGAACCTTTTCGGTAGATGTTTCTCATGTAGCATGCACCTAGTCATCTCCATTATAGTTCTGTTTTTCCTCTCACTAACTCCATTTTGTTGTGGAGTATAAGGGACTGTTAGCTGATGTTTTATACCAGCTTTGTCACAGAGTAATTTGAACTGATTTGAAGTGTACTCCTTCCCATTATCAGACCTTAAAGTCTGAATTTTGCAGCCACTTTGATTTTCCACTTTTGCCTTAAAATTCCAAAACACATCAGCTACCTCAGACTTGAATTTTAAGAAAAAAATCCAGGTCAGTCTTGTTAGATCATCAATAAATACAATGTAGTAAAGACTACCATTTAAAGATGGTGTTCTATGAGGTCCACACAGGTCTGTATGAATGAGCTGAAGCTTTTTTTATGCTCTCCAAGTTGTTTTGGGAAAGGGAAGCCTGTTCATCTTTCCAAGTAAACAAGCTTGGCAATCTGTCCACCGATTCTGCAATCTTGGTAGATCATTCACAAGTTCCTTTCTTTGCAAGAACATCATACCTTGATGATGAAAATGACCCATTCTTTTATGCCAAACTTCTGTAGAGTTGTCTGTCATAAGAAAAGTCGTCTGCTCTTCTTCCAAAGGATTGAGCGGGAATCACCTCCCCTCCATTTTGACCTTAAATATCTCATCGCCTGATGGATCTTCTATCACACAAGTTTTGTTTTTGAAGAACAGATTGAATCCATTCTCCATTAATTGACCAACACTGAGAAGGTTTCTATCAAGGTCTGGAACATACAAAACATTTGCGATAAGCTTAGTTCTAGAGCCACTGGTAATGGCTATGGTGCCCTTGCCTTTCACAGCAAGACACTCACCATTTCCAATTCTAACTTTCTTTGTCTCAGTGTTCCACAATTCTTTGAACAACATCTTATCAGATGTCATGTGGTTAGAGCAACCACTATCAATTAACCAACTTTCACTTGAATCTAGGCTTGTGAAACAAGTTGCAACAAAAAGGTGATCTTCTTCTCGATTAGCAACTTGAGCTTCAACTTCAGGCTGCTGAATTTTGGCTTTACAGATTACAGCTTCATGACCCTGTTGATTGCACTTGCTGCATTTTGCATCAGGTCTCTTCCAACATTTGAAAGGAGGGTGACCTTTTTTTTCACAATGCCGACAAGGAGGAGAGCTAGCCTTCTTGCTTTTAGCAAAATTCTCACTATTTTGTCCTTGTATCTTCTTGTTCTGCTTCTTCTTGTTTCTTCCATCATCTTGATGTTTAACTAATAGGGCTCCTTCAACAATTCCTTCCTGTCTCATTACACGTCGTTGCTCTTGTGCTTGAAAAACACTTAAGAGCTCCGCTAGTGTAATTTTGGACAAGTCCTTAGTATTTTCTAAGGTTGTAACAGTAGCCTCAAATTTTTCAGGTACTGTTACAAAGATTTTCTCAACAATCCTTGAATCGTTAAAAGTGGAACCCAATAATCTGACTCGATTTGCTATATTAAGAAGTCGGTCAGAATACTCCTTTATGGTTTCACTTTCCTTCATCCTTTGCAGCTCAAACTCACGTACTAAATTTAGCACTTGCATCCCTTGAATTCTTTCATCTCCTTCATACTCAGTCTTGAGATAATCCCATACCTCTTTTGCTGACTTCAGGGACATAATACGAGTAAAGATGGTGGATGAAACTGTTGTATACAAGCATGCCTTTGCCTTTGATTTCATGGTTTTCCTTTCCTTGTGATTTTTAATCTGCGCAATTGTGGGATTGTTTGGTAAGGGAACAATCTCGTAATCATCTTCTACAGCTTCCCAAAGATCCAAAGCTTCTAGATATGTCTGCATTCTGACTGCCCAGATCTGATAACTTTCTCCATTAAAAGCTGGTGGTGCCATTGAAGAAAAACTTGCTTCTCCGTCCATGGAATTCACTAAAACAGATTAATGAACATACAAGTCCCTCAAGAATAAAAAGCTCTGATACCAATTGTAGTTAAATTAATGTGGAAACCCAGAAAAAGAACAAAGGAGAACTTAAGAATAATGAAAGATTAGAACTATAAAGCAATGAAGAACAAGAAAGAAGAGATAACTTTATTTGATAATTCAGTCATTTCTCACTGCCTAAGACTTACACTTATAATAAAGAACTAACTTCATGGTCCTAAAAATCAGCAACACATTTGCTGAAGATAAACAAACTCCTAGAGACTAGGTAAAGAAGTTATTTGAGGAAAACTAAAGCTAATTTACTGCAGTAAATAAATAAAAGGCTGCAGTCCTAAAACATAGCAACTAACACATAGATTCTCTTATTTTCATCATGTATTCAAAAAGGCTCATAACTCTCGAGACAAACGATGGTGAGGAATTCAAATTCTACAAGGCTGTAATTATTAGGTCCCAAGTCATCAAGAACATAGTAGAAAATGTGTCACGTGCTTCTATTCCATTTCCTTGTCTAATATTGATGGCAAAACAATGACCAAAGTGATTGAATATTGGAAGAAACACTCAGAGAAAGGTGTTTTGACAAACCAGTTGAACAATTTTGACAAGAGTTTCTTGAAAGTGCACCACTCAGTTGTATATGATGTTCTTTTACCTGCTAATTAATAATCTTGACGATAATTTATTGAGGGATGTAATGATCCAAGAAGTTGTTGATAGGATCAAAGGGAAAACCACTGAGGAAATGCATGAAGAATTTGGTATCAAGAATGACTGAGAAGAAGATTCACGAAGAGAATATGCTTGGCCGCATCTTTAATTGATTGAGTCACCTTCATTTCCTATCTATTTATATTTAGAATTAAAGTTGTCTAGCTACCGATCTCCTATGTTTTTGTTTTTTCAATTGAGTTGTTCTTGGTGATTTTAATCACAATGTTTCTTGTTTTTGTTTTTAATTGGAGTTTATTACTTTTAAGTTTTCTGATTGTTGATCATTAAATTATTTCAATTTATTATAAGGTGGTTTTCACATTTAATTTTTAGAGATTAACTATTATCCATTTACGGTGGACAAGAAAATATATCGTTAGTTCATTTTTAGAAGTACTTATCTCTCTTAATACATTCATATTAATATTTAATAAAATAACAAAAAGAGCATCATATGATAACTTGGACTCTAAATTAATTATAAGAGTTTGTTTAAGATTCTTATTTGGCTTACCAAAAATAAAAAGAATTCTTTCACCGTTTTCTTGGTCCTCCTTATTTTCATTCCCCTTCTCCTTCAACGCCTTTCACAAATTTAACTTTGATTGCACCCTCACGATTTTTCCGACAAACATGCAACTTACTATTTCAAAACTCACGAACTCTCTAAATTAATATTCCTAAATTAATTATTTTCCTACATTATTCCCCAAAGCCTAAAAATTTAAGATTATCTAATTTCTAAAATTTAACATACAACTAGATCAGTCTTGATTAGTGTGATCTCTCTGCCAATATCTTAACAATATTTAGACAATTATGATTTGCCGAAAATGCGTAATTTAATTACTTTAAAAGGTTAGACAATTATGATAACCTCTTTGTTTTCTATTTTCCTCCTTTGGACAAACATATATTTAATGGGATTTTACTTAACTTGCTCCTTTCTTTTAAAAAAAAAATATGTTGTTGCATTATTCTTAGTGTAAATGTAGAAGTTGATTTGTAATGGCTTGACAGTATAGAACTTAAAGTTGTATAAAATATTTTGAATCATTACCTAAAATTGACCTGTTATTGTAGGTGACCCCTTTTAATTTCTTTAAGTTTCTTTTCCTTTTCCGATTATTAAGTTAATTTTTTTTTCTTTTTCTAAACTCTATTTGCTTTAACTTTTCATATTATGTTTAATGACATATTTTTATAATCACAACAATGTTATAAATAATATATATTTAATATCATAAGATTTAAAAAGTATTAAAATATGATAGTGTTATGACATAGAAACTTGATACCGTAAGTTTTAAAAGTTCTTCTATTTAATTATTTTAAAAAAAAAAAAATTATGTCTAGTCAAATAAAATTAAATGAAATGGAGGAAGTAAAGTATAGTATTATTTTGGCATAATATATAAATGTTATTGTGACATGATACATGTAGGTCGTGAATTGATACATACTAACATGTATCTACTTGTTCAATATTATACAAGTTTGAGTGTCTACTTGTACAGACTCAAAGTAAAAAGTCATAAATGTCAGTTAAGGCCAACTTTAAAAACACGTTTATTTGTTTTACTAGTGACTTTGAGAATAGTTATTTTTATATGTCTTCCCACTAGGTGTCTCACCATGCATGTTTGCCTATAAAAGGAAACTCTCCTCGAGGGTAAAGCCATTGTGCCTTAATCAATTTTCTTTATCTTCATCTTAAATAATCTTAGCTTCATCAATTCCTAGCTAAGAAAATAAAATGAGAACTCAATTAGTACTAAGTTGTCTTGTTTTTGTGTGTATTGTTCTTTGTGAAGTTGTTGCGGGTGCAGGGAATGTACTCCGCAACAACTTCTATAAGAGCACTCGTTGTCCAAATGCTGAACAACTTATTAGAGATATTACTTGGAGCAAAGCTAAAAATGATGTTACATTGGGTGCTAGATTGCTTCGACTACACTACCATGATTGTTTCCTTAGGGTACGTATACGAATTAGAATAATATCATAGTAAAATTTAAGTTATATACACTGACAGTGACATTTGTAGGGGTGTGATGCATCAGTATTGCTGGATACAGAGGGAACAGAACAATCAGAGAAGGAGGCTGGACCAAATCTCTCTTTGGGTGGTTTCAATGTAATTGATGATATCAAGAGACAAGTTGAGGCTAAATGTCCTGGCATTGTTTCTTGTGCTGACATTTTAGCCTTATCTGCTCGTGATGCTGTTTCTTTCCCTGTAAGTAATATAATAAGTCAACATATTCAAAAGTAGATTTAAGAAGTTAATAATATATACGCTGACTATATAAAAGAATGTAAAAATGTTCTTCTCTGATTAATTGTTTGCATGCAGTTTAAAACTTTAATGTGGGAAGTGGAGACCGGAAGAAAAGATGGAAATGTTTCCCTTGCAAGTGAAGTGAGCTCAAACTTACCTTTACCAGATTCAAATATTTCAACTCTTCAGCAACTCTTTGCAAAGAAAGGCCTAAATGTCGATGATCTCGTTGCATTATCAGGTAAAATATTATGGGTCCATACTGTCAGGTCATTTAAAAGATAATGAATTTCATAAAAAAATGTGAGTTGTGACTATAAACCTGGAGAATAACATACAAATTAATGTCCATAGCTTCTTTTAAAACCTGCATAAGTTTCAAAAGTTTTTCTTTCTTAAATGATGCGCTCAGTAGCATTGTGACTAAAACAAAATGTATTTATGTATATTGTCAGTGTATATAAGTTAAATTTGTATATATTTTCTGCATGTAGGTGCTCATACAATCGGTTTTGCTCATTGTGGAGCATTCTCAAAAAGACTCTTCAATTTCACTGGCAAAGGTGACATGGATCCATCTCTCAATGCTACATATGCTGAATCTTTGAAGAAATCATGCACCAATCTAGCCAATATAGTGGAAATGGACCCTATGAGCTCAACTTCATTTGATAGCAATTATTTCAACATTCTTATTAATCAGAATAAAGGATTGTTCCAATCAGATGCAGCACTTCTCAAAGACACAAACTCAGTTAATGTTGTCAAGAAATTGCAAAACGATAAGGCTTTCTTCGTTGAGTTTGGGAAATCCATGAAGAAAATGGGAACCATTGAAGTTCTTACTGGAAATGCTGGACAAATCAGGAAGAATTGTCGCGTCAAAAACTAATTTTAGGGTCTCTCATCTCAGGTCACTCCAGGTGACGATTCGAATCAAGTATAAGGGTCTCAGGTTATTCCGTCTATATATATATGTTGTCTAACAATGTGTACAACATGTGTGTTTTTTTTTGTTATGTCTTTAATGATCTTTAGTAATTGTGTGTATGATACCAATTAAGTTAACTTTATGTAAGTTAATTAAATTGTAGTGTTATTGTTGGAACAAGCAAATTGTGGTAATAAATTAGTTATATGTTCAAATCTTTGATAATTTTTTTAATAATGATCCTCTACAAATTAATTTGAAAGTTCGACTTTAAATATGACTTCTCAAGATCAACAGTAAAATAGTTTGTCAAGTGAAAATATTAAGATTTTAGTTTTTATGTCATGGTTTATTTATTTTGAATTTGATGTTCTCAAACTTGACTTATTTTAGAAAACAAAATTGGCTGAGTAACTTTGAAATATCTTTCTCAAAATGAGCTAAAGGGTTATAATTGAACGCGCCTAACTTGACCCAACTTTTTATTTTGGGAAATATTGAGACCTTCTCAATCAATTGAACTACGCCTCATTTACAAATAAATGTCTAATGTACGTATTTTGTAGATAGGTTTTTCCTTTTACGTCGTTTTCATCGTAATGCTGAATATAGTTTTAGTTAAATTACAGCCAATCATGTATAGGACAACGTTTGGATAAGTTAGAGGACTAAAATACTCTTTTCTACTTTTTGCTTGTATTTATACATGTTATTGTACAAAGATGAATACACAGAGAAAAATTATTTCAATTCTTTCGCTTGGTATAAAAATAAAGTTTTTTCTTCTCTCTTTTTTTGCAAGTCATTTTTGGTTTTAAAGGTTTTCTTTGTCAATATAAGGTAAATTTAATTAATTAAATATAAATAAATGATGACTCAAGTAGACTGTGAAACATGTGTGAATTCACACACCATAACCTAAAAGAAATTAACTCTAGCCAGAAGCAATTATTATCTTATTAACATATTCAAGTCGTAAAAATAACATCTTACAGAAATAAAAAATAAGAAATATTGCGTATATTAATAGACCCTTGCCATATAGTGAAAGTTTAAGTGCATCAAATTATTGTCAATATATCCGAACTTTAATTATTTATATAAATATACTAAAAAAACGTTATCTTTAGTGATTTGTAAGTGGGTTGTAGTATCTTAGATTAATCCTCATCATATTTAGAAATGCAATTAACGAACTTAGTGGCAAACAACAAAACCTAAAAATTGACGTTTAAGCCGATGGCAGAGCACTTTGGAGCAGGGTGCGCATAATTTTTGATTAATCTCAAATCTCAACTTTTTAGATTTTTTGTTTGAATTTTTGCATTATGGATTTAATTTCGAATTTTATTTTTAAGATTTATGAGTTTCGGATTAAATGTCAGATTTAGTACTCCGAAAATCTGAAATTTTTATACTTTATTATATTCAGGTCTAGTGCTTTACCCAATATCATATGTACACAATACTAATAAGTTCAATTTCCAAAGGTTCAAACTTATGAGTACTCAACAACCATATCCATTATAGTATTAAATCTAATGTGGAAATTTATACTAAATCAAATATATTATAGGGTTTTTTGCTTTCTCACATCACCCATATTGAGTAAATAAATTAAAGCTTAATGCACGATATGAGTAGAATGGTGCATCTCAATCTTTGTTAGCTACAAAAAGTTTTATATCCTAATAAGCGAATTATTTGGTGAATTGAAGTTGTTAGTTGTTATGTCATACCTTGAAAACTTAAAAGGCAAAACCAAAAAATATCCAAATCGATTTATTAAAAATCGAACTTAAACAGTTCAATCCTAATTTACTTGAATTATAATTTCTTCAATCAAAATCAAAAATTTCGTATCCAATCTGAATGACCCAAACGCGCTCCCCTACTTTGGAGAATCTTCTTAGCCTGAGGGTCTACAGTGATCAAGTGATTCTTTTCTTTTGTGTTCATTCCATTATCTGAAAGTGGACAGACCAAATGAATGGTTATAGTTATAAGTAATATTGATACATGCATCTGGAACGCTTGTGACTTGACAACTCTGCCTAACCAAGCATCCACCAAAATAAGTACCTAAAAAGTAACATTTGTGGACTTGGTGATCACTGGAGTCATGTCATACTTGTACTGGTAAGAGGTAATAGGTACACAATGTAACAATCAAGGTGCTCGCAAACAGGCTCGAACATAATTGTTATTGAAACAAAAGAGATACAGTTGTTGACGTGGTGATCACTGGAGTCATGTCATACTTGTATTGGTAGGAGGTAATAGGTACACAATGTAACAGTCAAGATGCTCGCAAATAGGCTCGAACATAATTGTTATTGAAACAAAAGAGATACAGTTGTGGACTTGGTGATCACTAGAGTCATGTCATACTTGTACTGATAGGAGGTAATAGGTACACAATGTAATAATGAAGGTGCCAGCAAACAAGCTCGAATATGATTATTATTGAAAAAAAAGAGATACATTTGTGGTCTCTACATAAAGTTTCTTTGTTTTATGCTCAATCAAAGGTCAATAGTTTCCATTAGGGGTGTACAAAATCGAACCAAATCGTAAATAGAGTCAAATCGGAAAAAAATCCGACTAGTGATTTGGTTTGACTTGGTTTGGTATTGGAAAAAAATCCGACTATATTTGGGTTGGGTTGGTTTTAACTAAAAAAAAATCAACATGAGACCAAACCAACCCAACATTATATATGTAATTTTAAAATTTTATTTTATACATAAAAATATTTACTTTGATATAATTTTAAAATATTTCTTACTATTTCATAGTTTTTATCTTTTAATATATTATTTCAAGTTTAAAACTTAGAATTCGGAATGGTCCAATAAAGATTATAGTTCATAGATGTTGATAATTATAATAAAACTTAAATCAAAATCAAATTAATACTAATGCAAAAAGAAAATCAATTCAACACTAAGAATGACAATAATATTGAATATTTATTCTTTAGTTTTACATTGGTTTAGACAATTAAAATATATAATCTAATTTTAATTTTCCTTAAATATTTAGTAATGTAACTACTACTTATTAAACTTATTTTAGCATGATTTAGTACTTTTAAATTATGATCATTTTCATTATGACTTTGCAATATTTATTTTATATGATGATTTCATTATTATTTTTTATTGAATATTTTTGTGTCATCAGTACTCATCTCATATTTTGGGTTGTTTTTTTAAGAAACACCTTAGATAATTGTATTTTGGTTGGACTAAAGAAATATTTGGAACACAAGTTAATTATATGTTTGTATGCAAACTTTACCGAAAAAATTCGAGGTTTATTAGTTTGGTTTGATTTATAAATTTAAAAATTCGACACATTGGTTTGGTTTGATATTTGAAAAATCCGAACCAACCCGAGGTTGAAAAACCCGAAAAAATCCGAATTTTATTGGTTTGGTTTATAAATTTAAAATTTTTACACAAATGGTTTGGTTTGATATTTGAAAAACTCAAACCAACCCGATCATGTACACCCCTAGTTTCCATCAATGTAGTCTCTTGTGTGTTACTACATGACAAGTTTCTAACAGTTCTTCAAACATACATAGCAAAGTTTACTATTGAAGAAAATGGTTTCATCCATACATTCTAATGTAAAATCTTTCATTTTCATTTATCTTTCATAACTCGAAAAATCAAGCACCGGTTACACAATCAGAAACCATACGAGTTAATCACAAGTCATGTAGGAGACTAAGAGGAGGGCTTGAACTCAGCCATGGAAACTTAAACATATTTTGGAGGATAAGTATATGTTAATCTGCTTATGTCATGACCTAAAACTATATTTTACAATATACCATCTTTCTACGCTTCTTCCATCTTATGTCATGACCTCTAAAGCCTCTCTGGTTTGTCCAAGTATGTTAAATACTGTTGCTGCAATGTGAGATGGTGTTAGGCCAGCTTCCGCCAACTGATCAACAGGAGATCCATGGTCAATGTATCGATCAGGAAGAACTATTGGTCTCCACTGCACAAAATAAACAAGTGACAGTTTGAGTAAACTTTGAAAATAACCAAATGCACACTACAAATAAGGTATGAAAAGTTTTACCTTCAACTTGCCGTCAAGAAGTCCATCTAAGGCCATGAACTGAACAACATGCGATCCAAAACCTCCAATTGATCCTTCTTCAACAGTGATTAGCACCTCATGTGATTTTGCGAGGCTCCTTATGAGGGCATGGTCCAGTGGTTTGCAGAAACGTGCATCTGCAACTGTTACTTGTAAGCCGCGGGATTCTAGCACAATAGCAGCATCCAAACAGTTCTGCACTGCTGAGCCATATCCCAATAGAGCCACTCTCTCCCCCTCAATCAATATCCTACCTTTACCAACCTGAATATATTTTTACAGGAAAAGTCAAATGTCATCAATCAATCGTCTGATAGATATATCAGACAGCATTAAAGGCATGGTGGAAATTAAAAAGTACCTCAAGAGGAATTCCTTTGTTTCCAGCCGGAAGCTCTACACCAATCCCATTTCCTCTTGGGTATCTAAAACAACTTGGTCTGTCATCAATGGCGGCAGCAGTTGCTACCATGTGAAATAGCTCTGCTTCATCAGAAGGAGCCATTACAACCATATTAGGAAGACATGCCATGTAAGTAACGTCAAATGCACCACAATGTGTTGGACCATCTGCTCCAACAAGACCTGCTCTGTCCATGGCAAACCTCACAGGCAGCTTTTGCAAATCAACGTCATGCACTACCTGAATATAGAACCACCATGAACATGGTTAGAGCGTTTTCTCGGCTGTTGTATCAGCAGATTATAACATTCACTGAAACTGCACTATATTCTATAAAATGAGAATAATTGGAGGCATTTTTGCTTGCCTGGTCATAAGCCCTCTGCATGAAAGACGAATAAATTGCACAGAAAGGTTTAATGCCTTCACAAGCCAA